TTTCCAGAGTAAATCTCTTTTCCAGATATTGAATAACAGTCATCAAGGAAATCATCCTATTCCCTATTACTTTCTTTCCGCACTACCTCCATTCTTACACTCTCAGATGTCAAAGAAGAGGTCTCTTTGTTTATACTCTGTCATGAGCTTCAAGTGACCTAGCAGACTACTGCTCCTTCTCCCTATTCTATAAACCCGTATGGCCTTGATTCCAAATGCCATAACCGGCTGACACCTTCTAACTCCTCTTTTCATGGGTAATATCCTTCTCATAGGCGAAGTTACAGGCTGGCTTATTGGTGCTATGACAATAAAGTGCTTCATCCTGAACTGAGCCATCCTGGTTGAGTTACTGTTGTGTTATCTAGTTAATTTTTCCCTGTGGCAATTCGCAATTCTCGGTGGATCTCAGTTTTCTAATTTTTAAAATGGATAAAATGGCATCTACTGCAAATATCTGTTATAAATGTTAATTAATATTTGTACTAAACTTAGTAATAAACAGTTTGGCAGACAGAAATTCTATGATTTGTAAATAGTTTCTTAAATTTCTCTTATTGTATTATTCAGTTTGTTTTCTGAAAGCCTATTTCAGTATCTCTGACAAATTATAAAAATGACCTAATTATAATACTGTTTCCTAGTCAAATTTTTTAAAGTAGTTTAAAATGTCTAGAGACTTTTTAATTTCTCACATAAGCTAAATTGCATTGTTTTATTTACTGTAGCAATAATCTTAATCAATTATGACTGCTAATTAATTACAAATTTAAAAAGTAATGTTTTGTATTTAGAAAATGTTCTTTTCTAAAATTTGTTTCTTCAAATGCTATTAATTTTAGAATTTTCAGGATCAACCTACCTGAGTAACTGAAACATAGGTTATTAAGTGTTTGGTATTGAACAGAGGCAGAAAGATATTTTTATATTTCCCCAATGTGAAATATAAAATGTCAAAAGAGGAAGCAATTTCTGAATTAAAATGTTTCTATTGCACGTAACTATTTGTAACACAATCAGAAACAATGTCTTATCTGTTTTATATAATTAAATATTTAAAAATGCTCACAAGTCAATTAAAAGGTTTTACAGTCAAACTATTCATATAAATAATGTGTTAATATACATGTCCAAAATATATATTGCATAGTATTTGGAAAGAACTAGTTATTAACAATGTATTTGAAGCACAGTAGCTAAATTATACTGGGATTTTCAATTGATGATCTTAAATGTTTCTCATACATAAATCAATAACCCATCTTGAAAGACACTTGGTCAGAATGTGGCAATCCTCTGAATAGAAGAACAATCCTCTGAATAGAAGAATAATCCTCTGAATAGAAAAATAATTCCATTCCTATGTTGCTCCTGTAAATTTGCTGATGGAATTGTGATTGATGAATATATTATCAAAAGGCAAGTATTAACACCTAAACATTTTGCACTTTCTAGTATATTTTGCCTTTTAAGTTATACAACAAATATTAAAAAATCAGTTTATAAATGTATATGTATTAAAAACTTTCTTACCTTTTTTCCTGAGAACACTTAAGAATCTAAGATCTAGGAATATTGCAAGATAGATTTCATAATCACCTTCGATTGTTGATTGCTGTGTACACCCTGTTTGCCCATTCCTGAATGGAACAGTGTATTACATCTTTCTTGCCTCAATGTATGGAATGAAGGAACCTTGTTTCTTCCATTTATCAGTCTTCCCATCAAAACCATATGCAATAAAGGAAAGAACCCAAATACCTTCATTGATAATTTTCAGGGTAATAACTTAAGCCTGAGGCTATATTTTTGTGAGATTAGTGTGTTAATGGCGAAGAAATAGTGTCTTCTTATAGAAAAGGAAACAAAACTGGTTTGTAATGGGAAGGAAGTGGTTCCTTAGGTGCACATCTTATTAAGAGTTGGTATCTAAGTCATCTGCCTTCCTTCTGTTTCTCCTCAATGTGGAACAGATTTGTAGTAGTCGTGACAGTGAAAACTGTTCATTTGGATTCCAAATGCTGGACCATATAGAACACAGAGTTTTTGTCTTGTTCATTACAGAGCTGACCTGCAGATCCCTAGGTTACCATACCACAATGCTGACAACACATACTGAGAATCTCTAGGTGGCTATCTGCTGGACTGTACCCAGCCTTAGCTCAGAAAACTACTGGATATTACTCTATGTGAATCTCACTTTGCTAAAGGTTGGATGTTTATTTCTGGCAGACACTTAAGCTCTTTATAAAGTATGTCAACATTTTCAACGTTTTTCATAAATTTTACATGGACAAGCAGAAATTAGCTTTTACCCTAGTGCAAGCTTAGCCTTATATAAAACTACATTTTTCTTGACTACAAAATACCCTAAGTATTCAGGGCAGATGCCGCTTTTTGGCTATTCTAACTTTGAAATTCTAGTCTTACATAAATGTTGAAAATTTGTACAATTTTGGGATTATTCTTTACTTGCTCACATAAATTTTAATCTGCGCATATAAAACATTATTAGTAGCAGATTCTAGGGAACATTTATGCAAATCGAAGGAGTTCATTTACCACCTAACATCTGCTGCAAAAGTTCTAAGCCAAGACGGTTTTGGTAGGCTCAGCTCCTCCTAACTTCTACCACTCTGTCAATTCAGCAAGGTCTCTTGGTTCTTAGGTTTCATCATCCAGAAAACTACTTTGGTAAATGTTATGGGCAAGAAAGCAGTACACTTATAGGCTTCCCTCACTTGTCTCCTTCCACGTGGAGTTGATGACTTCATACTTTGTGTTTGTTAAATCTGAAAAAAAAAAGTTATGCGTATTTTTCCTAGTTTAAAACTATTTACAAAGGAGTGGAAATTCATTTGCAGTCTATTTTTATAGACTGGGATATATTAATATTCATAATTATCTTCACCAGAGCCACAAGGGTATATATGACGGAGAAATATTCCTCGAATGCATTAGATGATGTAACAATCATAGTAGCGTTCTAAGTTTAAAATTATTCTAATATTCATTTTCTGTGTGAAATAAAATGCCATAAAACCACTTAAGTGAAATATAATTACACAGTGCTACTAAAACATCCTCATGGATTCTACAATTTCAGGTATTTGACGTTTTTATGAATATATTTATGTAAAATCAATTTAAAATTTAAATTGTTATACCATACATAAGGGACAATTTAAAATTTAAAAATCAGAGTACCTTTTTTTGTAGCAAGGTCAAAGATGGAAAAGAGCATGTTAAAGAAATTTCCACATTGTGCAAAATAAAAGTGAAAGTAGAAAAATGTTTAAAATTTTTACTTAGCCAATAGACAGTCAAAAATTACTCTACACAAAGGCTCTTCTTTGTCTGACATGATACTTTATATAAATACATATTTGTGCTTTTCATTGACTTTTTTCACCGATGAGTTTAAAATTGATTGTCTTGGCTCAAGAATCCTTGAAAATTCTAATCAAAGCAGAGCCAAATGCAAATAAAGTTTCTCTTCCAGTATTATAAAAATATGTGTATATTTAGCCATAAAATGATAGGTCGGCATATACGCCTACAGCAGACAAATTAATTATTAATTAAAAATCAGCCACTGCTCTTGCCTTGGACTCTTTGCTTTTTTTTTTTTTAACTAAACTTGTTTTTTTTTTTTTTTTTTTTTGCCCTACTTATACTTCTATTTATAATTACCCATTCATTTTTTTTCAATAGCACTCTTGGAGCTGTCAGAGCAAATGCTAGGGCTATCAAAGAAAATTCAGTGCAATGGACTCTTTAAAAAGTGAAATATCCAATGAATAATCCTTCAGGAATTCTTGCAATGGAAAAGCATGTCCTTAACTCTGACATACAGTGAATTCCACGTGCTCTAATTTGATGAGTTTGGGAAATGCTGGTGGTCTGTCCAATCAATAAAGAATTACCCAAGCGGGGTGGCATCTATTACCATGAAATTCACAGAGAATGATGAAAGGCAGTTACGCATTTACGGACAATCTACACTGTTTTAAAAACCTGTAGCAGTTTTCTTTTGCAATGTATATTGCAAACTTCAAGCTTTGTCTGTAAGAATTGTGATCTCATGTGATACAAAAGAAACAAAAGATCACTCCCCACTGAGAGAGAAACTTCAAGACTGCCATGAAATTCGCATGGAGAAATCTACTAGCATTCAAAAATGCTGGTTTGAAATGTGAGTTTTAGCCAACTTAGATATACAAAAACATACCAATGAAAATTTACATCCTAATCAGTTTGAGGGATTAAATCACTTTTGGATTTCATAATCGAAAGATCTTTCCCTGAACTGATAAATAGACTTCTCTGCTTCCAATTGTCAGTCTTTGAAAATACCATTATGAACTGGACTATGGCATTGCAACATTATTATTATTATTATTATTATTATTATTATTATTGATACTGTTGTCTTTGCTAAAGGGGAACTGTTTTTTGACCGGTTTTGTTGTCGATCTGATAACTATTTCCAGGTATGAGTGATTATTCAAAGAAAGATACCATGGCAGCCTGATTGGCATCAACTCTTTGCTCTGGACAGTTACCAGGGACTTATTATTGACCTCTCTCTTCCTCATTTCCTTGGAGGAAGTTGGTGTGTGTGTAATATCTTAGCAGGGTCCCCTAAAGGATAAAGGTAGGTGAGAGAATTGAGATGTGTGATGCCCATGTGCAAGGCAATCTCTATGCACTGCCCACATTGTGGTCCTGAAAAAAGGAAAGATAAAAGGTAAATCAGGCGGTTGGAACAGCATCGGGGAGCGATGCTGGTGTGCCTGCTGTTCCGAGGCGCTGATGGCCTGAGGGTGACAAGGTGGTGGCCGTTGCCCATCCCAGGCATCCCAGGTGCGCTGCAGCAGGCTCGCGATCCCGCAGCATCCGCGCTCGCAGCCTGGGCCTGGCGGGCGGGGGCGCGGCGCTCGATTCCCTGCCCTGCCGCCGCGAACGCTGTGCGCATGCTCGGTCTGCGCGGCCGGCGCGGAGGAGCGATTCGGCTCCCGCTGGCGGGCGGGCGGGCGGCGACCCGGGCAGCTCCGGGATGGGGCGCGGGGCCCCGGGCGCGGTGGCGCGGTGAGCAGCAACCCAGGGCGGCCGCGGCGGCGGTGAGTATCGGCGGGCGCCGCCATGGGGCTCCGGAAGAAGGGCTCCAAGAACCCCCCGGTGCTGAGCCACGAATTCATCCTGCAGAACCATGCGGACATGGTGTCCTGCGTGGGGATGTTCTTCGTTCTGGGGCTGATGTTCGAGGGCACGGCCGAGGTGTCCATCGTCTTCCTGACCCTGCAGCACGGCGCGCCCGTCCCCGCGGGGGAGGCGGCGGCGGCGGGCGTCCGCACGCTGTACCACTACGGCGTCAAGGACCTGGCCACCGTGTTCTTCTACACTCTGGTGGCCATCATCGTGCACTCCACGCTCCAGGATTGCGTGCTGGACAAGATCGGCCGGAGGATGCAGTTCACCAAGGCCCGGCAGAGCAAGCTCAACGAGTCCGGGCAGCTGAGCGTGTTCTACGTGGTGTCGTGCGTGTGGGGCACCTTCATCCTGGTGTCCGAGAACTGCCTGGCCGACCCGACCCTCCTGTGGAGGGCGCCCTCGCACCACCTGATGACCTTCCAGATGAAGTTCTTCTACATCTCGCAGTTGGCTTACTGGTTTCACAGTTTTCCCGAGCTCTACTTCCAGAAGATCAAAAAACAAGACATCCCCGGTCAACTCATCTACATTGGCCTCCACCTCTTCCACATCTCCGGAGCTTATCTTCTCTACTTGAATCACCTGGGACTCCTTCTTCTGGTGCTGCATTATTTTGTCGAATTACTTTCTCACCTGTGCGGCCTGTTTTATTTCAGTGACGAGAATTACCAGAAAGGAGTTTCTCTGTGGGCCCTTGTGTTTATTTCAGGGAGACTTGTGACTTTAATTGTTTCCATAGTCACTGTTGGGTTTCATCTGGCAGGATCGGATTCACAGACCCGGAATACCACGGACACGCTCACTGGAAACGTAAATGTGTTGGCTGCTAAAATTGCAGTTCTGTCTTCCAGTTGCTCGATCCAAGTGTACATAACATGGACTTTGATTACTGTCCGGGTTCAGAGGTGGGTGGAAGATTCTACTCTGCAGGCATCCAATGTGAAGAAGAAACGGTCCACAAGTAAAGGAAAGTCTAGAAAAAGAACAGAAAATGGAATGGAAACGTCAAATAGAGTAGACTCTCCCCCAAAGAGGAAAGAGAAATCCTTATGACGAAGCAGGAGCAAACTGATCAGTCTCCAAAGGAATCGGCGTATGAGATTTTTTTGTGCCACAAATCTGTTTTCCAGAATATTTTGTGCTCTTTGATTAATGGCAGCGTCCTGTTAAATGTATTTTTAAGGTATTTGAGGGACAAGTGGTTATTATGAGTGAAAAAAAAATTTTTTTGGTTAAGACTAAGGTATTCATCATCAAAGCAGTGTCAAAATACTATACTTTGTTTTTACCTTTTACAGAGTCACTTCCTAATGATTAATGGAAATAACTGCAAAATTTCATTTTTCAGTGGTACAGTTTTTTGTTCCCACTAATATTAATGATACAAAATGATTTGTTATAACAATTTCATAATTTAGTGTTGTTTCATTATGAAATGGAAAGATCTAAAAAAGTAGATAGAGGTCATGTCAGTATTCAATTTTTATTCTTCTTAGAGTTTGTAACAAAATATTTGTAAAACCACAAAATAATCCTGTATTTTATTTCATGGGTATTTTATTTTAATTGTTAGTGCTGCATTCCCATTAAAGTATGAAAACACTAATATGTATCATGCATAGAGATTTATTGCCATATATATTGAATCAAAATAATTAATATAGAAATATTACTGGAGCGTAAAAATAAATCCCATTCATTTTACACACTTGTAGAAGGATATTTATAAATATTACTGAAGACATTAAATCTAACTAAACTTTTTAATATTTTTATTAAAACAATTCTTAATGAGCATTCATAAATTTGCTAACAATAACATCTTAGAAAAATTTTGTTTTATCTGTAAAAGATTCTAAAACCTAATATTTGATTTGTATGGATAAAAATAATGACAGCTATTGAATTTGGAAAACATTAAGTACATTAAACAAAAACCTTAAAAATCAGTGGGTAGTCTTATGAAAAACTTCTTAAAATTATTGTTTTGCTTCCATCTTCAATTGAGATTTATTTGTATGAGACATGGAAATTTTATATCTGTATATGTAATTTGTATCTACAGAAGTCTGTAGCAACAATGTATGTAGTATGTGAATATATTTGTCTTTTCAATCCTTATTTTTATTTCATTTCCATGTTTTTCTTGTATATCTTTTCAAGGATGTAGTAATTTAAAATATGCTAGGGTAACACCGTATGTTTTCTAGTCTTGTATATTTTCTTAGAGTATATCTCTCATTTGTTGCTTTTGGTAGCCTTTTCTTAGGAATCTTCTAAATGATTTAACTTTTCCAGCCAGTGCGATTATTAAAAAATTAAATTTGGTGCATTTGTATTACAGATAGCAAAACAACTCTTGGAAAACATTTTTTCTATTTGGCTGCTTTCAAATCGAAGTAACAGAATAGTGCTTTTTTTTTTTTTTTTTTTTTTTAATTGCTGAACACTTGAATACTGGTAGCACAAGCTCAAAGGAACATAAATCCCATGTTAGATAACTGGTGAATAACTAGTACAAACACCTTTTCATATTACTGGGAGCACTTGTTGACATCCTTCACTTTTAAAGAATGCTACCTTGTTACCTGTAATGACTTCTGATAATACATGTCTTAGCTATTAGAATGTTCGTTTGCAAACAAATGCAGCCCTGACTGAACTGACAACAAATTGCAGGAAAAAAAATTTTTTATGTAATTGACAATACTAAAGTGTAAGTTAGGCTTGCCAATAAATATAAGTAAGCCTGGATGGATTTCCTTAAGGTTTTCTTTCCTCTGTCCTCAGATTAACATTTTATGTGCCAGCCACTGATCATAGCTATTAAGCTTTGATTTCCTTAATGCTCCATGGTTAGAGTAAGTAAAAACAAAACAAAAAAAAAAAATGATTTTTGAAATTCCTGTAGTGCTAAAGTGTAGCACTAATGCTAAACTGGCTTGAGAAAGGAATATATTGCACTGATTGATTTAAGTTTATGTGCCCTATCAATCAAAAATGGCTAAATGGTTTTATTTTAAAAGAAGTTGTAAAGTTATTCAGGAGAATGTAGAAGAATGCTACTAACCACATCTGAACTGCTCATGAATTCACTGAATACTGTAAAATAAATCTATGCTAAATAAATTATGGAAGCAATATTACAAATGAAATTTACCTCAATGAATGATGGAGTCTCTCTTAAAAAATACATTAAGGGGCTGGGGATTTAGCTCAGCGGCATAAGCGCCTGCCTTGCAAGCAGGCAGTCGCGAGTTTGATCCCTGGTACCGATAAAAAGGAAAAAGACAAAAAAAAAAAAAGAAAAAAAAAGTGTTAAATACATTAAAAATAAACTCAAGCCATAAGAAGTTTCAGTAGGATTACTGGGTCGCTCCCAAAGTAGACCACATAGAGAGACATAAGTCTTCATTAAGAGCGAAGGTTTATTGAAGTTTTTGTTAGCACCATTAAAGCTCAAATAATCACGAAAGGTTATAAAAGTCATGAAGATGTGTCTACTTGAAATTAAGGATTGTGCTTTGAATTATTAGCTTCAAAAGTTGCCAAATCTTATACCTTCAATAAGACTACAATATATGTGCTGCATTGGATGGATTCAAAGTATAATTTTCTGTGAAAAACATTGATTCTACTAGCATTCAATTAAATATATACTCCTTTTTACTGAATAGTACAAGTATGCCATTCAACCTAAACATCTTGTAAGAAGTGACAAATCTTTAGCCTTGTTATGTCCTAGGGATTGGTGTGTCTCATTTGTTTCACTAGTGAAACATAATCTTGTTAATATTCCTTATTTATCTTTCATCATTTTTTGTTTATTTATAGTGGGACGAGACTGAGCCAGTACAACCTATTTTTGTTGGAATAAATTCAAAATTTGCATTAGCATATCAATAATTTAACATTTCTTGAAGACATACTATCCTGAAGTTCTTTTTGTTTGGAAAAGCAGGAATAAAATTTTGGGGGTTTTGGTTTTTGTTCTTTTTTTTTTTACTCAACTAAACCAAGAGTGATTTGTATGGAGTAACAGAAAACTTTTAATCAGTGTTCTAAACAGAAAATGCCATATTGGAATAGTTTCCTAGAGTGAACTCTTGGGTGAAATTTCTCATGATTGTAGTTGAGAGATTGTCTAGACTTTATCATTCAGGTACTTAGAAGGAAATATCCACTGTGTCTGGCAGTTTTATGATCCCATAAATGTAAAGTCAAATATTTAGAGCTCTGCTTTTGAGGTTGGTTAACTGTTTTTTTCTGATTTGGCAGGCATTGTGTTTTGTGTGGTAGCGGACATCACTGTGGCATGTAATCTTTTTCATCTTGAAATTTCAAAAATATTCCAGTGTCTCTGTGGCCTACTCTTGGAGATATTAGGTGTATTGGTAAAGTTCCTATTATACGTACAAGTGATTAGAATTTTACAGGAACTACACAGTAATGATATGTATATCTTGTAGCCACCAGTAAATGATGGAACTAATCAATAATTCTAGCAAAATAACAATTTGAGTACTACAGCACCATTAACCAAAGAAAATCATGTTTGTGTACCTAATCTCATGGTTAAGAAAAATGAAAAGACAGGGCATTTACTAGAGCCCTGCTGAAGTGTCTTCTAAGCTTGTACATTGAAAAGTGCTACATCCCAGGACAAAGTATTTATTTCTCTTAGAGTACTGAGTGCTTAATCACACACACACACACACACACACACACACACACACACACACACACACACCACACAGACTTCCAGTAAACAAGGTTTCAAAGTTTTCAACACAAATATTGAAATATAATTTGTAGATTTTGTATGGTTTTGAAAGATAGAGCAATCTCACTGATACATAAACTCAACAGAGATAGCCAATAATATTAATATAAATAATGTTTAAAAAATGAAGTTAGGGTTTGTGTCTTGCTGAGGTCTTAGAATAATTTGAAAGAAGTATTAAACTACTGTTTTACAAGCCACTACATCAACAAAGATACTAATCTAAGGAAGCTTCCATAAGATAAGTCCTATACACATGTATAGTGTGCAATTTCTTTGAGTATGTGTGTGTGTGAAAATTTTTTTCATATTTGTAGCACACACTTATAATCCCAGTCCTTGAGCTGCATGCCAGCCTGAACTACATAGGGATTTTAAATCCAGCCTAAGCTGCAAAGCAAAAACTTATTTTAAAACAACTATAAACAAATAGATATATCCCTTCCATATATGTACAGTGTCAGTATGTCATTAAATAGTAATACACCTGACTGTTCATATGTGTATGTATATATATATATATATATATATATTCATATATGTATACATATCTGTATATATGTATACACACACACACACACACATATGGATGCCCATTTGGAGGGTTTTTTTCCTCATAACTTTAATGGGTTTACTTGTGTTTTAGGGCAGTTTTAGGAACACAGTAGATTGAGATCACTAAGATTTCACCTTTCATCCTGACCTCATACACGTAAAACCTCCCCATTGTCAACATCTGGAACCAGCACGGTATATTTTGTGACAACCAAGACACTTACATTGGCCTATCATTAATACTCAAAATCCATATTCAGAATTCCTTGAGGTGTTGTACATTCTGTGCATTTAACACAAGTATAATGTCATGTATCCAATATTGTGGAGACATACAGAGCTCTTTCACTGCCCTAAAAATCCCTGTGCTCTCTTCATATTTTTCCACCCTGTAGACTTTTAAGTGCTTTAAAAGTATGGAATTGAAGTTTTACCAATTTCTAGATTGGAGCCAACAGGAAATTTACATAAAGTGAAGACATGTCACATATGTGTGAAATTTGTAATTACATTAAAGATACATCAGCACAATTAAATGCACATAAATGCTTTTCTGAGTGAACAAAGTAACTATGGATTACATTTTCATACATAAATTACAGTCATCAACATAAATATAATAGTTTTTTTTTTTTTTAAATCAGTACCACGGATCGAACTCACGACAGCCTGCTTGCAAGGCAGGTGCTTATGCCACTGAGCTAAATCCCCAGCCCCATAAATATAATAGTTAAGTCAAGGCTTTCAACAATGTCACCTAAGCAGATATACATGTGGAAGAAAAGAAACTTCACTTCTTAGCCTTAGAGCTTCCTATCAATAGAAACCAAGCTGGGGAGTAAAAGCCAACAACTGAAAGTCACCAGATGGCTCAGATGACAGAAGATTCAAAGACCAAAAGTTCTTGGCACTACAGAATGCAAACCTGATGGCTGGTATGATCGGTCAAATAAATAAATAGGTAAACAAAGTCACAGAAATGTGAGATACAAAGAGCATGAAATATAAATTATACTCAATGCTATTGAAACTTCAAATTCCGTAAGAGTAGTTTGAAAAAGGCAGACTTGCAAAGGGTCTGTCATTATGGAGACACCGTGGAACGAATTTTTGAGGAGTGGTAGGAATGGGAGCGCTTTTGATCCATGCTGAGAGGAAATGCTGGGCATGTGTTCCCTCCTTATGTAAAAAAGATTATTTTGATGGAGTGGTAATTGTTCTTAGGTTAGAAGGATGAGATAATATATGTATATTTGCATACTCAAGAAGAGATGAGATGAAACAGTGGAGACAAATGCCCACAGATGACAACAAATCCACGTGGTAAAACGCCACTGAAAAAATGCACAAATGACAGAAATTGCCAATTTGAAAATACCATTTTCTTAATTGTTTGAGATAAATCTTGGTTTTGCAGATTATTCCACAGCTTTCAGATCAACTATACATAACATGGTTTTTAAAATATTTATATATTAGATATATAAATATATAAAGATATAACATATATCATTACATTGTTTTCTTTGTAGTTAATGATATTAGTATTAAAATCCAAACACAATTTATATTATTAGATCATAATATAAATGATTTAAAAGAACGGCATTAATTGATCCTTGCCCTTTTTACTGGGCTTTGTTTTTCAGAAAAGTGAAAGTTAAAATCCATTCAAACCATGAAAAATACCAAAAAATTTGTAATTCTTTTCTTTCTTTGGTCATTGTATTGACAAGTATTTTGTACGGTAGTGCAGAGTTCAGGAGAAAGTCTTTCTCTGTCAGTCAGTTAAAGAAATTGCCAACGCCAGCAGAGTATAATTACCCTCAAAGAAGAAGTTGCTATTTAAATCCTCAAAAATGTTTGAAAGTTTAATGTATTCAGCTAAGCAAAAGCAAAATCTCACTATGTACTTTCAGTTAGACTGAAACTCACTTGGTAGTCCAGGCTGCCTCACTCTCCAGGGTGCTGAAATCACAGACATGCACCATCACATTTGATCCTAGGATTACTTTGAACACTTAAGTATCTTCCCTGATTCTTTCTTACATTACAGCATGTATTAGTTCCACTTAACAATAAACTTGAGTCACATTGCAAATTTTAAAATTTTAATTGATAAAACCACAATTGTAGCATTACATAAATTCAATTATCTTGTTTGTGTAATTGAGTATTTACAGTAAAATTCTAACAACCAACCAGCAAATACTACCTGTGTTATTACTGAAAATCAGTTTAACCCAAGCAAATTCAAATTCAGAATTTATACAACAGCTTTGAGTCAAATAATTAACACTGATATTTTATATTTTATCACCTCCTTCCAAGCTGGTATTAAAATACTATAGTCAGTGCATCTGGGTGAAATTCAGACTGTAAAATAAGAAAATCTATATCACAGAACAAGAAGAACATCTGCAAGATAAAATTGTTTCTGTATTATTTTTAAAACACATACAGCAGATTTGAAAAGGAATATGATTGAAGCTTTATATAGCAAAGCAAAAATCTGTAACCAAGTTTAACATTGTTAGGGAAAAAAAACAATTACATAGCTATGGAAATTTCCAGTAAACTCAATTATAGCAAGTACTGCATGATTTATAACATAGCAGGTGGATATGACACTGAAAGTAATATCCTTCTACTTATAATGCACATTTTGCTTTAATTTTTTCCTTTTCCCCTACTTTTCAAAAACAAATTCTTATGGTATGATGGATTTTCAAGACAAGTACTCATTAGATACTTAGAATACAGTATTTCTCAGCTTTACTTTTAGATGGATTTTCCTTTACTCTATCATTACTGTAGGGAC